GTATATGTATGATTATATGATTCCTTGTCTAACTGTATTTGATATTCTATGGAATTCTCATTGAGTCTCAAAGACTCATATAGGTGTTGAATTGCTTGTAGGATTACCCGATTTCGAGCCCGAGGTTCGTGGTTGAAGTTGAGTTCGTGGATCATGAGAAGCGTTCATATGGAGGCATGGTGGATTTTGGGTGCTCTTAATATACTAATGTTGTTTTATTTGTACACTTTGCTCTTAAAGACATTCGACACCATTTTAGGTGTTTATTATCGTCCCCTTCCGCCTATTGGAGGAACTTACTATTGATGCATAATGTGTAATGTGACATAGGATTAAGATTACCTATTTTGATATATGTTATGATAATTCCTCAAAAACTTACGTAACTTTAGGGCAAGTTTTCCTAAAAACCTTATAAAATGCCCATCGGCTAGTTATGTGTTGTATTATGCCTAGTAGTTTAAGAATTCGTGTTAATTATCTCTTGTATATATTATTGCATGAAATTTTACAGCATCATAGGTCTATATGTTAGGTTCACGTTGATATGTCTTTTGCATTATTTGGATAATCCATGAATTAAATACGAATTGTTTACCAACTCTGCTCCGAAACAGAGTCATTGTAGTATTTACAATAAAATACGAAGTTTTTCTCACTCAAAAGGATTTATTCTACTTGGGATAAACTCCTAACTTACTAATGTACTTTAGTATAGAACTTTATGATTTTCGAAACAGTAGGAAATTTATAAAGATTTTTCAAAGGTCACTCTCCTGCTTTACATTTTCAAACTGTACAGTTGTACCATTTTAATTATTCCTTTCAAATGGCTCAAGGTATTTAAAAACTGTTTTTACTAGGTTAGAGCATGTGGTAAACACTTCAAGTGTTTTGCATGAACGGTTAGAGAGTTATTAATTTGTTTGATTGATAGATTGAAACTGTCCAAAATTTTCTCACTTTGCTAAAATGGGACTTAATCTCTAGTCATGCATGCATAGTTTGTGAAATTGATTAAGGGAATGTTGTTTGGTAATATCTTGACACTCTTACTCTGATTCTAAAAGAAAATTTTTGTCGGAATTTTCTATTCCCGATTAATATATTTCAAAGTCTTCCGCTATTATATTCTAAAATACTAATTAGGTATAACTAGAAAATGGGTTTCACACTCATCCTTCGTCATGGCAGCCCCCAGACCGGGGTATTATCAAGATGAACGTTGATGTGGCTTTTCTCTATTGAAAAGAACTTCTACGCGACGGCTATGGCGGCGCTTGACAGTAGCGACGAATGTTTATGGGGGAAAATCTAGAAAAAGTTGGGCCAGCCACCTAATGCTTGAGGAGAAACGACTGGCGTGCTTCATGCTCTACAACTCGCGAAGGAGAAGGGATGGAATGACATAGTCATTGAAGGCGACAACTTACAAGTGATGATAACTCTCAATGAGGAAGAATGTCATTTAGCACCCTTTGGTCCAATTGTTGAACAATGTCCAGTTTATGCTCGTGGTTTCAATCGTGTTTCTTTTCAATTTGTCAAACGGTCTGGAAATCATCTTGTCCATGAGTTGGCTAAATTGCAGTGTTCTAAAAATCGACTGAGGCAGCCGATTAATCGGTATCCGAGGCGGAGGCGGTCCCAAACCTTTACGATTTTAGTGTAAATGTTTGAAAAATCGATTTTTGCCTGTCAGGTGGTCCGAGGCGGGTTGAGGCGGTCTGAGGCGGAAACCTTTATGGCGGGTCAAACTCGGTGGCAAAAATCGGTCAAAAATCAGTTTTTTTATTTTTTATTTTTTTATTTTTTTAATTCAAAATTAAAGTTGGGATTTTAATTTAAAAAAAAAAGATGAGTATGCTTTATTTTGTTTATGTTAACTATTATTGTTAAAGAACTAATGATGTATGCCAGGAATGTTGAAGAATAAATGTAAATTAAAAAATTGTCTTTTTATTTATACTAGCATTTTTTCCCCGTGCGATGCACGGGATATTATTTCAAAAGTGAAAAAAATATAATCAATTAATACATAATAAGAAAATATCGTACACTAACATAGTAAAATTTGATAATGTAGTATTATTCATATTTTATATAACATTGGTTTTTTTAAATCTTGCATATTAAGATTTATAATCCAAATATATAGATTAAGATTTAAAAAATCGTATTTCTATCTTTATCTCGTTTGATTTGAGATATATTGATGAAAAATCGGAGATTGATAATTGTTAAAAATTATCGTTAGAAATTAGTAGAGAAAAAATATTTAATATAAATAATTGCAGAAATACCATTAGGGTTTTTTAGGGTTCTCTAGCGTTTCTTTCTTTTATATATAAGATTTTATAAGGATATTTATGTATTATGAACTTATTATTATTAAACTTTTATTATGTTATTAGGATATATACATGATAGAGATACATTTATGTTTAATTATATTAAATTTTAAAAACCAATTTATTTTCGATTTATCACCGGTTAATTACACCCCGACCGATTAATTGTGAGTCGGTGTCTGACCGCCTCCAACCCGATTACCGCTTTTTACATCCTTGCGAAATTGTACGATATGACTGGTTTGGAAGGCTTACTACTTTCCTAGGTTTGGCGATGAATGCCTAATAAAATCTCAATTTTTCCTTAAAAAAAGAAGTGCAAAAATGCACTTTGCCCCCTTAAAAAACTCACAATTCGCACTTTCCCCCCTAAGAAACCGAAAAAGAGACTCTCCCCCTTCCAAATTGTGCCTCAGTTGCACTTTGCCCCAAAATTCGAATTGCGGTGTTTTTTTCATCGGATTTCAAATATCTCTGTGCACTTAAGGGGTATATGCGTCATTTTAGGGTATATATGTTTTTCTTTTAAAATTTTCACCTGATTATAAATTTCTCCTCCTAAATTGTAAGGACTAAATTGCAATTTAGAACTTTATTAAGAACCCTAACCCCCTTCCTTCTTCCCACCACCGCACCACCACCACCACCTCTACCACCGCACTTCATCATCATAAAAAATCGTCATCAGCTCTAGAGCAAAAGACCCATCAACTAATGCTTGCTCTCACTATTTTCAAGTTCTTCATAACACTAGTTTTCTTCGCCACAGCCATAACCTTCATCACGCTCACACCATTGTTGCTCAATTTTCGTATTCCCATTATTAATTTTTGCAGCTCGATTGATGTCGCTCCCGCCTTCTGCATCACCAAAATCGACCATTTCTGCAACAAGGAAGACGAAACGACGACGTTAATTGCACATAAATCACTCCAATTTCTTCGCCCACCTAAAATCATATGTGCTATGTTCGACGATGGATTGTTTGAATTTAATGTTAGACGGCAGATTATCCGGATCTGGGCTGAGTTCTTCGTGGTGCTGTAGCAACTGTGGTGTGGTGGTGTTGCGTGGCTGCTGGTGGCGGAACAGAAGGTGGATGCAGAGTTGTTTGGCGGTCGAAATTGGTGGGGGAGGTGCGAGGGAAGAAGATTACTATTTTTTTTTTGCTTTTATTTTTCCAGTTATATTGAATTTATATTTTTGCATTTTGTTTCTTTAAATTTCAATACTATTAAAACTTTATTAAACAATAATGAAAATATTTGTAACATGAATGACAAATAGAAAATATTTTTGGAATTATGCAAAGTTGAATATATTGCATTAAAAACTATAATTTGTAAATGAAAAAAATTAAACAAAGAAATAAATTATTTTAAGGAAAAATACGTTTGCACGCTTAAATTTTTTTAAATGGATGGAAAAGATGATTTGACGCATAGACCCCTAATTGGATGGAGAAATTTGATTTCCGGTGAAAAAAAACAGTGGAATTCTAATTTGGGGCAAAGTGCGATTGGGGCACAATTTGGAAGGGGGAGAGTCTCTTTTTCGGTTTCTTAGGGGGGAAAGTGCGAATTGTGAGTTTTTTAAGGGGGCAAAGTGCATTTTTCCCAAAAAAGAGATATTTTTTAGGGTGCAACTATTTGCAATCCCATAAATTTCTAAGAGAAAGACCGAATCAACTTTACGACTAAAAACCCTTTATGCAAATACTATTTTACCCTCTAGCAAAAACACACAAGAGTCCATTTACAAAAGAAATACACAAAAGACAGAACACACAAGACCATAAAAAACACTAAAAAAATACACTAGATAAAAATAAAATTATTAACAAAAGGCACTCTAAAAGAGAAGGAAAAAAAAGGGTGAGAGAGATAAAATCCAAGATCAAACATATGGGCAAAAACCTAAACTTTAAGAAAATCCAAACAAAAAAATCAAAAACCAAATCAAGATGTCTGAAGGACCGCGGAAAAACGAAAAAGATGAAGAAAATAGCGAGACCTGCAAACAACGTAAATTCGGATTGTATATGTCGATTTTCTTGTAAAATTCCGACATCACAGTGTCGATTTCTTTAGATTCTCGACACTCAGGCGTCCACATTTCAACAAAAAAACTTCATTGTCGAATTTATCCCACAATTTTGACACACAATCAAGGTTAAATTTGAAGTGTACAGGTCGAAAATTTAAATGGTAGTTCTTCAAAAAAATTGCAACAATTTTCAAACGGACGGCGATGGTATTGTGCACTTGGTGGCAGTCGAGTGGCGGTGATGGCTCAATTTATGTGTGGCGGCGTTTATGAATTTGCTCCGCAAATCTGACTCAATCGATTTTGTTGTGGGTGGATATGGCTTCTTTTTCGTGGAGATCTTCTGTTTGAAGGAAGATATGAAAATGGATGAAGGGGCTAAATAAGTTTTTGGTCTTCTTCCCCTTAGAAATTTTGGGATTACAGATATCCGCCGCCATGCCATTTTTTAACACAAGTCCAGGAATTGAAAATTCCTTTTATCAAAACGAAACAACAGCTTGAATTAATCATCTACAAACATTAATAACCTCCATCTCCAGCAAGAATGACAGAACCAAATTCTTTCAAACTAAATAACACTTGTTGGAGAACAAAAACCATAGAGTGAAAATTTGTCATCAAATTCAAAAAGCAATGAATGAAACACAATTAACAATTATTTTCGATTGTAATAACAAGAGAAGCAAGCAAAGCAGCACCGAAAACATAAAAAAAAAAAAAAAAAAAAAAAAAATACAAAGTTTGTTTGGTGTCACAAGGAAGACAACCAAACCAGACTGACTTGACAAATGAAATGAATTAATTGTGTTGAGAGGATGATACCACGGAATCATTATCATCATCAGCTTCAATAATCATCTCATCGTCACTATTGTAAATAAAACGAATGTGCTTCCCCTCAAATTTTGGGCCTTCACTATCAACAACACTGATATTGCTCATTCCTTCACAGAGAACTGATAGCAGATTACCACAGAAACCATCTTCTTCCTCATAATACTCGTAATATTCTTCTTCTTCTTCTTCTTGTTGGTTTTCGCTTGCATTGACTTGAATTGACCAAACAGATTCATTATCATCATCAGAACACCCTTTTCCTCCTTCATTCTCGGAGAAATCCAGCAGTAGAGACCTCGTTATCACATTATTATTGTTCTTCTTCTCACTTTCATCAATCCCCTCTTCTTTCTGTTTTTATTACCAACCATAAAACATAGGCAGAGAAAACGAACATCAATATTACTAAAACTTCAATATCAAGAAAGAAAGAAAGAAATAATCAAGCGTTACAAACAAACCTGTGGTGGGAGAAGGAGAAAGTTATCTTGAACAGGGGAAGAAGTGAGACAAGGCGGCAATGATAAAGCATCCAAGATTTGGGGTGTGTTTGCTGGAGTTGGTGCACCAACAATATGATTATTATTATTATTGTTTGGAGATTTGATTAGATTGATGAAGAAAGAAGGCGGACGCAGCGTTTTATTATTAACGAGCACCTCAGCCTCTTCTTCAACTTTCTGCAAAAGGGTCTTAACTTGACCTCTCAACAGAGCCTCCCCTGAACCTGGAGTTGTACCCACCCCAATTATTGATTTTCCTTTTCTTGTCGAATATGAAGAACACGAAGACGAAGACGGTGTCTTCAGATTCCCAATTGCAAGACCAACAATCGGCGAATCGTTTGTTATGTCTATCAGAGCACATCTCTCCCTCCCTTTTTCCTCTGTTACAGAATCATATTATTTATTATTATTATTCATACGCAATTAATTTCAAGAAATGAAATTAAAAAAAAAAAGATGTTGTTCAAGTATTATTCACATACTTGAGAATTGTAAGTTGGCGTTGGCAGAAGCAGCGGAGGTCTGGGATCTTGTTACTCTTCTTGTGGACGATGATGGGGTTTCCATTCCAACAAATTCAAGTGGGTCGCCGGAATAATACTAGATCTGTGATCGCCGCCGGTGGCACAGGGATTATTAATTAAAATAAAAGGCAATGGAAGATGTAATTGATGTGTACAAGGAAATGTTTTATAGGGAAAGAATGGAGAAATAATATGACCGTTGGAGCCTATTCAGTCAGGCGGCGGAAATTAGCCGTTGGGATTTTGAATACGATCTCACTCATCCATGCCTTCTTGGGCTCGGCCCACTCTCTCTCTCTCTCCTTTTCTGATTTTCTTTCTTTTCCAAATCACACCATTTATTATGCTCTTTACAATTTATTATTATTTATGCTTCCAAATTATTAATTTCTCAAATAAAGGAAAATGATAAATTGTAGGTTTCACGTAAATGGAAAAGATATACATCCCCATTGGATTTTATTTGACCAACATAATCTTGTATTTGTTATTGATGAATAATATTGTTTACCTTTTTTTTTTCTTTTTTTTTTTTTTAATTTGAACATGTTATATATATATATATATATATATATATATATATATATATATATATATATATATATATATATATATATGTGTGTGTGTGTGTGTGTGTGTGTCATATTTTTGCCGTGCACGGTGCACCTAGTAATATTTTTAAACTTGACTAGAACCATGTTTAAAAGAAATAGCATGTTGAAACCCCATCCATAATTTTGATATAACTACTCTAGTCAAACCTTATAAATAATTTGAAATATTACTAACATTGGAATAGTCAAGGGAGTTCAATTTTGTGTACTAGTTAGGGGTGGTAAACGAGTCGAGCTGACTCGTGAGCTCGATAAGTCAGCTCGAAAAAAGCTCGATTTCAGATTTGAGTTTTTCGAGCTCGAACCATTTTTTAGTTGCTCGTGAACTCATATCACGAGCCTTATTTATTGTTTTTATTTTGTTTTCAAATTTTTTTTATATATTATTTTTTATTTGAATAATGTATAATAATATAAAATATTATAGAAATAAATAAAAATAAAATAAAAATATTAAAAAAAAATATATATATATATAATTAAAATTTATTGTTTATTTTGTAATTTTTTTAAAATCATTTTTAAAAATAATAATTAAAAAAATATTTTTTAAAAAGCAAAAAGAAAAATAAAAAATGAGCTTGGGTTTGAACTCGACCTCGACAAAATGGACACGAGCTCGAGCCAGAAAAGAAGGAGCTCGAGCCTGTTGTTGGGTGCTAAATACCTAACACGCAAGTGCACGTATCGCAAACAAGTAGTAAAAGTGGACTCGCAAGAGTCGGATGTCGATCCCACAGGGAATACTCAAATTATCTAATCTCAAGTACCAAATTCTAACAACTATGATTTTTATCCAGCCTACGCAAGTTTGTCAAATTAAATCAATTAAATAATTAAACTAATTATGAAAGCCAATAAACACGAGAAAATATCAATAAAAACGGACCTAGGATTTTATCTTCCCCCTATGCAAGAATTGCTCACCCAAAACCCCTCAATTATGAAATATATGATTCCTGATTATTAATCCGAGACACTAATTTACTCATAACCCGCTGTCGCGTGTATTATGAGTCTACTATTCATAAACGGTTCACTATATGTCTATGCAAACAATTTATGAAGAAAGCATTAACTAACAAGTCACGTGAATGGCTACCTAAGGTGATATCTGTATGTCTACGACACCACATGCAATTGACACACTCATCCGGTGAAAACTACTCGAAGGTTCTTATACTTACCGTCTAATTATCAAAATAGCTCTGTCGAGTCAACCCCAATAATCACAGATAAAGCACATATATTGATCAAGTTCATGCACTAACAATCATAACAAGTATAAGAAATAATCATAAAATCATAATTGCATAATCTCAAGAAAACGAGTTCACCATCCCCACATAGGGTTCCAATAAAATCCTTGATTAAAAACTTAGCTACGCATAACGAAAAACATAATAAAAGTAATAAAATTCATAGATTCAAGAAAAGATAGGTGAAAGAAGAATTGTGATGAAGATTCGTCAGGTCTTCGTTCTTCCGTTCTCTCGCTCCTCTTGCTCCAAGGTTGTGTCAAAAGTTCTTTGATTCGTGCTTGGTTTGGGCTTAAATAGATGTCCCAACTTGGTAGATGATTCTAGGTTTCCTTGTGTGTTTAAAAGTCCAAAATTGTCTCCAGCGTGATTTGGCACGGCCGCGCGAAAATCAGTGCAATTCTCACACGGCCGCCCGAGAATCGCCGAAACCTTCTGTCCAATTTCTGCATTTGGCACGGCCGTCCCATTTTGAGGTGTAAATTTGGGACGGCCGTGCCGTGCCAATTCCTTCATATTTTTGATTATTTCACTTTTGGCCCATATTTTCTTCAAAATTGCAGTTTTGACCCCAAACTTTTCCAATTCATCAATTTGTACCTAGACTACCATAAATCAACTTTTTAAGCACCAATTATCGTTAAATCACACCAAAAGATCAAATAAAAAGATACGATAAAGTGTAAAAATATACACTTAACACCTGCCAAAAGAGGTGAGCACGGCTCGTTCACACCCCTAGTATTGGCCCAATCTCTTTTGATTGTTACCCTAATCTAACACTCTTGTTAAATAACAAAAATATTTTAAAATCTTTAGTGTTACAAATAAAAACATACAATTGCAAAATGCTTGAAAGGTCAATCCCCGTTGCAATAATATTTAGAATCCATTACAAGGCTATGAACTCAACGTTTGCCACCAAAGTTAGATTCGACGGTTAAAAGTGTGAAACCCTCGTACTCTAAAATACTCTACGACGATCTAATATTGTCGTCTCTATATTCATACAATGTAAAGATATATTTCTTCCAGAAGAATGGACCCTCGAGGAAGTAGTTTAAACTGAACCTCTATTACTACATTCTTCAAACCAAATATTCATATTAGATATGTTAATACAAATATATATATATATATATATATATATATATATATATATATATATATATATATATATTTCTATCTATTACCATAGATGTATTACCCTAATGGAGTGCAAAAAAGCTTGATAATTGCTAATAGATTGTGTAGTAAGAAGAGACGAGAAGAGAATTGGTGAAGAAACATGGATGAAATAAGTGGATATTTATAGGTGAAAATTGGGGGGAAAAATAGGAGATGGCTGTGGAACCGGCCGGTTCCAGATCGGTTCGGTTACACCGGTTCTAACAGTAACTTCATTAGTCGATCTCGACAATTGATCACTAACGGTCAAGTAATCCCCACCACCCATTCAAATTAGAATCGGAACCGGTCCGAAGTTTTTGACCGTTGGAATTTCTATTTTTTTTTCATTTTTTTTTTAAATCTGACCGTTTGATGGTGCCACATGGAATTTTTTTTTTAATTTGACCATTATAATTAATAGGGGAAACTACAGTTTGCACCCCTGAACTATGGGGCCTGTCGCAAACACCCCCCTGAACTACAAAACGTACCATAATGGCCCCTCCGTTTCGAATCTGTTAGTGGATGATGACGTGGCACATTGACTTTATTGTTACTAGGCGTTTTTATACCCATTGAAACATTTTTTGACCCATTTGCCCCTCAAACTAGTATATATATGTTTGTGTGGATTAAAGAAATTTATATTATTCTATCTCAAGCAATTATTTTATCTCATTACATTTATTTTTTACAAATATTATTTTATGTATGTATTTTTAAAATTATCTCGTATTTTCAAAAAAAAAATAAAAATATCCATTTACATTGAAGTAACCTTTTAAATTTAAAGAAAAGATAAACAAATAAATTAATGAACTAGGAAAAACAACATGCACAACTCTTTCCACCTCTGTTATTCTTCTTTTTTTAATATTTTTTTTATTTCATTAATTTTTCGGACTAAAAATAAATCAAATTACAAATACACAAATGGCCACAAACTTCTCTTTCATCCTCCTCGCCAAAACACTCCTCTCTGCCGCCACCTCTGTCATCAAATACGAAAATCTCCCCAATTTAAAATTCGCATCTGCATTAATTACCTGATTCCTCCTTCACCTTATTCATCGCCGGCGCCGCTACTGCTCCATTAAATGCACAGTCAAAATAGAAAATGGTCCTCGCAATATCTTCGACTGATTTTTTTTCCTCTTGGGTTAATTGCGTTTCGGAATTGAAATTTGATGGGATTATTTGGGGGATTTTGAGGTGGCTTTGGATGGGGAACGATGAAGAATGATATGTCTGATTTGGGGTGTGATTTGTAAGAGGAATACAACTCCATGACAAAACGATTTAAATATGGTGTATCTTGGACGGTTGTGGAAATAACATTGTGAAATAAGATTTTTTTCGAACACAATTGTTGTGGAAGAGGGCCGCCATTAACAAGGTTGTTGCAGGGTTATGCAAAATTGAGTTTTGGGTATGGGGAAGCGTTGGAGGACCTTGGGTGGATGATGCCGTGTCATTAGGATTGCCCTAAATTAGTTTTGCAGCAGAAAATATTAAGGGCAAAAAAGTAAATGCACATTATTATTAACGGTGTTAAATTTCTAACATTTGACCGTTAAACTCATGGACTATTTTGAGACGTTTTATAATTCAGGGGGGTGTTTGTGACAGACCCCATAGTTCAGGGGTGCAAACTGTAGTTTCCCCTAATTAATATTTAATTTTTATTATTTATTAAAAACCCAGTTCTAACCGGCGGTTAACACTTACAAAAATGGGGAACTGAAACATGATGGATTTTTTCGGTTCTAGTTCCGATTTTGGTCAAACCAATTTGGTTCGGTTCTAACCGTAACCTTGGTCATGTCTAAAAGTTGTGAAGAGAATGGGAAGGATAAATGAAAGGGTAAATTCCACTTTACCCCCTCGTACTCTGCCCAAGAACCACTTTACCCCCTCGTACTCTCAATTCCATTGATTTACCCCCTTGTACTTATACAATTTCCCAATACAGCCCTCTTCGTCAACTTTTTTCGATTTTGACTCTGACGCCATTTGGTCAAGAGTCAAAATATTGACGTAAATGTTGATTTTTTTCGATTTTGACTCTCGTGATTAGAAAAGAGAAAGGTTCACACATTCATATATTTTTTTTCTTTGCACTGGGTGGAATCGATCAATTTTTGGGTCTTGATTTTTACTAAATTAGGGGTTCAATTTGGGGATATCTTGGAAGGGGAAGTGATGGGAGAAGAAGAAATGACAATATTGACGGAGGAGAAACGATGCGTTATAGGCAGTGGCAATTTTGTAATTTACAGAGTTGACCAAACGACGTCAGAGTCAAAATTGCCAAAAGTTGAAGGAGAGGGCTGTATTGGAAAATTGTACAAGTACATGGGGGTAAATCGATGAAATTGAGAGTACGATGGGGTAAAGTGGTTCTCGGGTAGAGTACGAGGGGGTAAAGTGGAATTTATCCTAAATAAAATTATATTACAAAACATTATTTTTAAAATATTAAAATTAATAAAAGAACCCGGTTGAACCAAGTAGAACGGTCCAATCCAACCGTAACCCAAATAGTCATCCAGTTCTAGGTTCAGTCCGATTTTAAAAATATTGATTAGACATTCAATTCTCCTTATTCACCAACTGTGCCATTCTCATTACGGCCAATTCTAATGAAATATTGTTGATATTCTAATTGATTTGGGTCAACATGGAAACAATTAATATATAATTATAACTTGAGCCACTAGTAATTTGTGGAGTGGGAATATCATAATAAATGATTGATTGTGCTACAATATAACTAGGATAAACAATGCAAATCTAACGACAAATCAAAAAATTAAGACAATAAATAAAAGTTAGAAAAGAGGGGGAACTTTTGGGCGACCTTCCTCTCTCTCTCTCTCTCTCTCTCTCTCTCTCTCCCTCTCTCCTACCAAAAGTCTCTTTGACCATACCCACCATCTCCATTCCCTTCCTTCCCTTAATCTTTCCTGTAAATTTAATTATATATCTCTATCATTTCACATTGTATATTTTTTTACAATATATATTCGACCTTTTCTTTTGTTTCAATTTATCCATCTCATCTCATGTACATGTGTTTATATGATTGATCATCACATGTCCTCTCTCATGTATTCTTTTTGAATATTTAGAATCCCTTTATTTGAAAGACCTAAACTTGAAATCTGTTGGATTTTCATTTTTTTTTTCTTTTATCCTATTGTTAACAAATTAAATGGGCATCTGTTTTTCCACCAAAAAAGGGAGCGCCCCTTCCACCACCACCACCGGCAACGTCCACCAGCAGAACCGCCGCTCCTCCGCCACATCTAAGCCATCATCCTTCAAGACAACATTTACTGCTTCATCAAAAAAGCAAGAGGGGTCACAAAATAATAATCTTAAGACAAGAGACAATCATAAAAACCAACAACAACAGAAACGTTCTCATAAGATAATCAAGAATAGTTCAAAAAGTACAAGTGGGGCCATTCCATGTGGCAAAAGAACAAATTTTGGGTATGATAAGGATTTTGTGAAAAAGTACAACATCGGGAAATTGTTAGGACATGGCCAATTTGGTTACACATATGTTGCAATTGATAAGTCCAATGGAGATCGTGTTGCTGTCAAGAGAATAGAGAAGAACAAGGTATTTATTCATATTTATTCTATTTTTTTTTTATTATTATTAATATTTTATAAATTGTTTTTTGAGCGAATTGCACACAAGACATGTGCTCATAATTAATTGCAATCATATATACACTCCAAAATTTCTCAAAAAGAAAAGAAAACACCATGGACCCTACTAAACATTAAAATACCTATTCTCATCTAACTTATTTCAATTTCATATCAAAATCATATACTACCATACCAATATTGCACATTAACCTCAATTTTTAAGAAATATTACATACTAACCCTCACTATTCACAATTTTTTTGATTTTGTTTTTTTGAAAAAATAATTTTCCCCCCTTTGAATCCCATTTTAACAAGATTGCATTTTAATTTTTTTTTTCTTTTCAGCGTTGACTTTTACTTTTATTCTTTTTTTAACTTTTACCCGTCATTGACATCCGGCCAACGACATCAAACTTCCTTTTTTATTTTATCTTTTTTAAATTTTTTTTCCGTTGTTGACCGGTGAAAAAAAAAATTTAGAAGTTTTTCCTTTTTATTTTATTGGGTAAATTAGAACCACTCCTAAAGTATGATCATATTACAAAAACCCCATCTTGTTTGGATAATTACAACCATCCCTCAACTCCTCAAATTTAGTGGAATCTTCGAGATTATATGGATATCACATTTGTACTCGTTTTATCTCATTCGATCTCTACAATTTGAAGCAAGATGATCATAATATGTGTTTTTTGGGTTGTATATATTGGTGCACATAAACTGTATTTCTACACAAAACGAGTACAAACTAGAGCACATTCCACGAAAACTAGATGCATATGTTGAATTTGACACCATAAGGGTGGAGGTGTAAGAAAAAATCATAGTTGAGGGGTAGATATAATTATCCAAACAAGAGAGGTTTTTTTGTAAATTGACCATACCTCAGGGGTGTTTGTAATTTACCCTATTTTATTTGAACGTTCAACATAGTGATATTATTGTTGGTGAAAATATTTCAAAGGCGGAATAAAAAAAAAATTCTTAAAAAAAAAAAGTCATCGGCGGCGTTCAAATTATGAGATTATTTGCTTAATTGGTTGCGATATATATATATATATATATATATATATATATATATATATATATATATATATATATATAGATAGGAAATGAGTTGGTAGTGAAAAAAGTTGAAAACAAACGTGACAGATGGTTCTTCCAATAGCTGTTGAGGATGTGAAGAGAGAAGTGAAGATATTGAAAGCTTTAGCTGGTCATGAGAATGTTGTTCACTTCTATAATGCTTTTGAAGATGATTCTTTTGTTTACATTGTCATGGAGTAAGTACTTTTATCTATCTATCTACTACCTTCTTTCTCTCTCTAGCTAGAAATATATATGCATCCATCCACATCTTTTAATTTCCTTCATTAATTAGGTTATGTGAGGGTGGAGAGCTGCTTGACCGTATCTTATCCAAGTAAGCTCAATACATAGATCATCATCCTTTTTCCTTTGCTACAAATTAAATATTATTTTAATTTGTGTACGTACGTAACAGAAAAGATAGTCGTTACACTGAGAAAGATGCAGCAATTGTTGTGAGGCAGATGCTCAAAGTTGCTGCAGAGTGCCATCTACATGGTTTTGTACACCGTGATATGAAGCCTGAGGTATTATTATTATAGATTATTATTATTATTATTATTATTAAACTTTGTATATATATATATATGCTGATCATTCATTCATTTATCTTTGATTCAGAACTTCCTATTTAAGTCCCCAAAAGAGGATTCACATCTAAAAGCTACGGATTTTGGTCTTTCAGACTTTATAAGACCAGGTAAATTAATGAGGAGATTTGAGCGTACGTGTTGTGATTTATGAATTAGTTTTTTTTGGGTCAAAATATATTAATCTTTAATTGAAAAAAAAATAAGCAGGAAAGAAATTCCAAGACATAGTTGGGAGTGCATATTATGTAGCTCCAGAGGTATTGAGGCGTAAATCTGGTGCTGAATCAGATGTATGGAGCATTGGTGTTATTACTTACATTTTGCTCTGCGGCCGCCGTCCCTTCTGGGACAAAACTGAGGATGGCATTTTTAAGGAGGTCTCTCTCTCTCTCTCTCTCTCTCTCTCATACACTGTCGTACATTCGAATAATTTGGATTTCTTTTAATAATAATTTGAATTGATAGGTTTTGAAGAACAAGCCTGACTTTCGGCGGAAACCATGGCCAGGGATAAGCAATGCTGCTAAAGATTTTGTGAACAAGTTACTTGTTAAAGATCCTCGTGCAAGGCTTACTGCTGCCCAGGCTTTATGTATGCATGTCTTCCCATCTTTTTTTTTGCATTTCCATCAATTCATTTACCTTTTTTGCATTTTAATTAATTTTTTTTTTTAATTTGTACAGCACATCCTTGGGTTAGAGAAGGTGGTGAAGCTTTAGAGATTCCTCTTGACATTTCAGTTCTATCTAATATGCGCCAATTTGTTAAATACAGCCGTTTTAAGCAGTTTGCACTTCGGGTAATTTTTTATGTTATATTATGGGATTTTAAATTGCCTTCTTTCTCAACACCATATATACAAGTAGTTGATTATTTGAATGAATAACGTTGTCCAGGCATTGGCTAGCACAATTGACGAGGAGGAGCTGGCTGATCTTCGAGATCAATTTGATGCAATTGACGTCGATAAAAATGGCTCCATTAGTCTTGATGAAATGAGACAGGTGTACATACATGAATGAATTTCTATGTTTGTTTTTTACTTTTCATTGCATTAATAATCACCATTTATTTATTTATAATTATTTCACCTTAGGCCTTGGAGAAGGATCTTCCATGGAAAATGAAGGACTCCCGAGTTGTTGAAATCCTTCAAGCGGTATATATACATGCATCTTTATTTGTTCTTTTACAGCTAGCTGTCATATATAGATTCATTAATAATTTGTTTGTACGTGATGAATTAGTGTTGTGTATGTTTGGTTAATTGCAGATTGATAGCAACACAGATGGACTTGTAGATTTCTCAGAGTTTGTAGCAGCTACAATTCATGTCCATCAATTGGAGGAGCATAATTCCGAAAAGTGGCAGCAGAGATCACTGGCTGCTTTTCAGAAATTTGATGTCGATAGAGATGGATTTATAACTCCACACGAACTTAAAATGGTTCGTACCTACGTACAATCACTTTCTTATTTATTTATTCTTTTTATTTATTTATTTTTGAACGAATTGCACAACAACGAACGGAACGTAACAGCACACAGGTCTGAAGGGTTCGATAGATCCACTTCTAGAAGAAGCAGATATTGATAAAGATGGAAGGATTAGCTTACATGAATTCCGTAGACTTTTAAGAACTGCTAGTATGAGTTCACGAGGAGGTGTGTCTACCTAGTAGCTTCTTCAAATCCATGTTCACAATACACGCACTTGTTTCAATAATTATATTAATTAATATTGAGTCAGCAAATAATGTATATTCTTAACTCGGAGTTTCTTATATAATCCTATATATGTTTTCTTTATGTGGATTCCTCTCACAAACTCTGCTGCACTGTTGGTTAAAAGTTACGTCAGTATATAAAATTGGGGTTTTTGTGATCAAACATCTTTATTATTCTAAATTTACGGCTATATCTCTTTCACCAATAAGCCCATCTTTTAATATTTACTATAAATAAATGAAACATTCATATATATATATATGTCAATATTACCCCCAACCCTTTATACTCAATTCTTAATTATAATCCCAATTTAATCAATTTTGACCATAAAAATTCGATTTTGACAGTTTTTTTTCAAAAAAAATTTCCTGCCACCGGTCTCTGGCATTGACTTTTCAAAATTGGAGCATACTTTAATATGCTCCAATTTCATCCTTAACTTAATTTAACCTCAATTTGACCCCAAATTTCACAAAATATTCAATTTTGACAAATTTTTTTTTCCAATTTTTTTTTTTGCCGCCGGATCCCGGCGGTCAACGCCGGTCTTGACTTTTCATTTTTTTTTCTTTCAGATTTTTTCGCCGGTTTCCGGCGCTGACTTTTTTTTTCTTTTTAAATTATTTTTTTAAGGAAAAAAAAAAGTTAACGTCGGAGACAGCCGGTTGACCTGCCGGAAAAAAAAAAAAAAAAAAAGTTCAACGGCGGCTGACCGGCGGTCGAAATTAGATAATTGGTGAAATTGGGCTACATTTGGGTGTTCATGAAATTGGTGTTGAATTAGGATTTCAAGAAGTTGGGATAATTTTGGTATATGTAAAACGGTTTTCTTTATTTGCAAATAAGTTTGAATATGCAGATTTATTTGCAAGACAAAAAAGTTAATTTTTTTTTTTTTTTTAATTAGGCTTATTTTATATACACCCCTAGATAGACACGGCCACAGGCCAGGTTTGACCCAGACCCGACGAGGGACCCAAGTACCAGTCGGGTTGGGTTTGGGGCATGATCATGTGTTCCTTTAATAATTTAGTACAATACTAACTACTCAAACAAAGAAACTTATTATATAACATTCCTAACTATAAATATATAAATATAAATAACACTATAAAATGATTACAATAATTCTATAACTAGTGTTTAATAAATTATTTATTGTCATATTCGCTATTATTAATATTAAAAATCACCACTAATAACAAATGCATATATATTTAATTTTAAAAAATATAAAAAATACGATTTAATTTAAAAGAAAGATTGATTTTTTTTTTTTTTTAATTTTGAAATTTTGAAAAGTTTCTCAATTATTATTTTCACTTATAAATACCCCTAATCCAATCATCACAACTTTCATTTTATTTAGTTTATGTCTCGAGGTCGTAATCGTTTCATTTTTTCTAAAATTGTTTAGTGTTTAATTTCATTTTTTTTAGTAATTTTGAATTTAAAGTTAATCTCAAGTTTTTTCAAGTATTAATTTAAATTTTTTTCTTTCTTGTAAATATTTTGGGAAAACAAAATTGGAAAATCGGTTTGGACCCGGACCCGCCTCCCCAGGAGTCGGTTTTGGGTCCCCTAAAAGTCGGACCCAGACTCGGACCTGACCCGCCGCGTGGTCGTGTCTACCCCTAGGGATAAGCCCAAGCCAAAATCATCCTTTGGCATACCCCCTGGAGAGGCGAAAGTACTATACTGCACTTATATGCAATTTTTGGCCAAACTGCATTCAACATTTTGGTTCTGCATTAAGCATTTTTGCCGATTTATTTATTATTATTACTATTTTTTAAACTTGTATGTTTAACTTATATACCTTTTTTTGAAATTATAAGTTTTTTTTTTTTTTTTTTAGAATTAATATGTTTACTGTACTGAAAATAACTACATGCAACTGTGTAAACTATAGTCATTCGTAGTTAATTTTTATTTTTTGACCCCAATGTACACACACGAATACTGGCGTATACAACAGAAATTCATAGACCCCAACAACAAAAAATCTACAAATTTCAAGATTAATATTATAAATCACCTCATAACCAATAAGATACAAATCGAAAATACACAAATATATGCATATGTAACTACATGTTACTATATGTAACTAGTAATGTATAGTAATCTACAGTAATGTATACAATCTGTTAAACACGGTAACTTGAAGCAGATGTAACTTCAACCAAATTTTTTAACACCTTCAAGGAGAGGATCAATGGCTTTCATTAAGCTGCAATTATAGTGCAAATCAACAAAAATTTAAGAAACATGAAAACACTCAAAAATTAACAAACACTTGTGGGAATTATTTTAGGTGACCAAATATAATTTATCACACCACAAAAATATAAAGGGATAATAAAAGTTAAATATGTAAACATTAAACAAAATATCTCGAGGGGTATTCGGTAATTTCCTCTCCTCTCTTCTAATGTACATTTTGATTATGTAATTTTCTAGAATTGGGGCATTTCCCTGTTTGAAAGAATGAATCTGAGTGCAGCAGTTTTCATCGTGACAATAATTTTGTGTGCGGCAAACTCAGCTCTTAGCATCAGATTTCCGGATCGGATCCCGGATTCCGTGGATGGGGGTTCCGATCAGCCCCTCAAAACAGCTGTCTTCGCCCTCGGCAGCTTTTGGTGGTCTGAGGCCGCTTTTGGATGCTTGGACGGCGTCGTACGCACCGCCGCCGTTTATGCCGGCGGATCCAAACCTAACCCCGAATACCGTAGTTTAGGTGATCACGCCGAGTCTGTGCAGGTTTTTATCTCCTCTACTTTTTCTTTATTTTTCACAAATTTTCGTTTCAATTTTGGAGCAACTGAAGAAAATAAATTTACTAGAATTGTTGAATCACTTGTCTATCCTTCTATCAGATTTTCGTCTGAGCTTCCACTTTTAAGCAATAATAAATGTACTTGGCATTATGTGAATACCATATAATTTAAAAAAATATGTATATGTTATTTCAATTTCTTGTTATACTATTTCGGTGGCTCAAGGGATTGGTGAGTTTGCCAAATACTATGTAACAGTTGTTTTTTACAAAATTGATTTGTAATAATTAATCTTGAAAAAAATGATTTCGTGATTAAGGATGGTCAAAAGCTTCATTTTGGCCGATGAATCTTGCCCAAGTGCAAAGTTCAGACAAAAACACGATGCAATTAAGGGATGCTGCATTTATGTTCTCCAAATGTGGTTTTGTTTGTTATTTTTCTCCAGGTTGAGTATGCAGTAGGTTTGATATGGAATTAATTCTTGGATCTGATATTTGATATATGAATGGAATTTATTCCAAAAAAAGTTAAAAAGTGTAGCTTTTTGCAAACTGTTGATTGTTGTGTTTTGTACAATCAAGTATTGATTCTGGTTTAGGTTGGAAGATATTATTACAGATATAAGTTGCCAATTGCCTTTACAAATCACGGTAGAGCTTCAAATCTTATTCGGCAGCTTATAGTCACATTTTGATTGAGTTATCTATACATACAGCTCAACTGATGAATGTTGCTGGAGAACTGTAAAACAGTACCCTTTGTATCTTCCAAACTAGTAACTATTTATACAGTAAGTTAAAACCCCTCCCTCGCTCTTGTATATCCGATTTGCAAGAGTTTCCACTTAATCATTTAGTGGACCTTGCCCATCTTTTCATTCTAATTTATTTACCTAGAAAAATCAATGTAAGATGTGATCCCAGTTAGGATTCTATAAAATGAAATGGAGTATAATGGTGAACATCACAAAATAATGCATCAATTTTATTTTTGCAAGTACTTTCAAAACAAGAAAGCTCTTGGAAAATTAGGCTAAAATTATATTTTGCTGTAAAATATCTAATGCACCTGCTTCACTACGGGTTGTTCTGTAACATCTTCTTAGTTTTTTTTTCTGAACAGTGTCAAATGACTTTTGTTTAGTGCTTACTGAGATGGTGTTCGCCTGACTAGAATGTGATTTTTTTCTAAAAATCTGATTTTTCGATCTTATTCCTAGAGTTGAGATGTTTGAATGCCACATGGCTTCGCTAATCATCATCCAACATTCTTGAACATTTAGCTGAAAGCCAAATAAGCGTTGTGTAGCAGATGCAAAGTATTTATATTTAAGGGTTATGAGTGAAACCTGCAGATGTGAAATATTAGTTTTTCTGTTACATTTTCTTTCTTTGCCCTGCCCATACATGATATTGATACAAATTTCATATGTTGTTGTGTCAATGATGTGCAGATAGAATATGATCCCAGGATTATTAGTTTCAGACAACTACTTGATATCTTTTGGACTAGTCATGATTCTAGGCAAGTATTTGGGCAGGGTCCTGATGTTGGAAATCAATACCGGTACTCATTTTCAATTCCAGCAGCACTTTGATTGTATGTATACAAGTGTCTAATTATAACCCATAAATAGGTTATCTTACATGGTAAATTATTTTATCCGAGCAGGTCTATAATATTTACGAATGGAACTGAAGAATCCAGATATGCTGCTCTCAGCAAAGAAAAAGAACAAACAAGGTCAAAGAATAGTGTTGTTGCCACTCAAATCCAACAGCTAGGACTATTTTATCCAGCAGAGCCTGAACATCAGGTTCGATGTTCTCAACTTCTTTCTTTTTTTTTTTTTTTTTTTTTTAATCTTTTAAATGTATAAATGTGAAGCTAGTTCCACTCGGATATGCAACACTACAAAAGATAGAAATTGTTGTTTAGTTCAGCTGATTTTAATGCTCCATTTTAACTCTTTAAGTATGCTTGATTTCACTAAAAACAAACTCAAACCAAAAAAAGATAAAGCAGCTCCTTAAGATAGGAAGAGAGTACAGAGCTTAGTCTTTTCATTTTATAAAATATTTCTAACGGAAAATTGGTCTGCCCACGTGTAGAAATTTGAGCTTAAACGAAACCCGTTTCTTCTTCAATTAATTGGCAACTTGGCAGAAGAAGAGCTTGAGAGGTCTAGCCTTGCAACAAAGCTTAATGGATATGCAGCAGAGCTTTGTCCAACTAGGATGCAAAAGCAGATTGATGCCAAGATCAACGATATTGTAAGAAAAGGTTGGCCCATCTTAAGGGAGATCTAATTCGACTTTTGAGTTGATGCAAAATCCTACAGGTAATTTTGTCACTAATTTAGGCAAATATCGACCAGCTTCAGAATCCTCTTTGTTCATTAGACCGTTGATCCATTTGTTCAAAGCTGAAAAATAGTCTTCAGCACTGTGAATAGCATCATTTATCTGCAGCTAATTCTGGCATAGTTCCTTTGATGCTTAATTTGAGATTGTTACACCGATAGTTGCGTTTCTGTTTTTCGCAAGGCTAATGTATCACTTGGTAGACTGCTGATTAATGAGTATATAATAGCAAGACGCCTTTTCTACTTCAGATTTTCATATTATGAGTTGTAATAGTCGTGAAATTACTCTTGTATACTTGCAGAAAGGGACCTTCAAATTTTGCAGAGGTACTGCCCCGCAAGGATTAGGGTTGTTTATTAGCTTTTGTTCGAGAGTTTATTAACTGTTTTTAAAAAGGGTTGTATTAAAAACCCCCCCCCCCCCCCCCCCCCCCAAATTAGAGAAAAACGCACGCCAAAATCATCTTTAGGGATACCTCGCAAGAGTACTATCCGGCCCTTATATGTAATTTTCGTCTAACTGCCTTCAACATTTTTGATCTTGCATTTATCATTTTCACTGATTTTTTTTAATAATAAAAACATGTTTCTTTATTTTGTTATTTTTTATTATTTTTAATTTTTTTGAAAAAGATTTTTTGATATGTTTATTGTACTAAATGACTGCAGATAACTATTTGTAGTTATATTATTTATTTTTACTATAAAGTCATCTATATTCTATAGTATGAATCTCATTTCACAACACACTTCTCTTCATTATTCCATTACTGCATAGAAGTAGTAAAAACAGCAAAACCTACGACAAAAGAAATATTTGTTAAAGAAAATGAAGAGAGAAATGAAAAGATCATAAATTACTCAGAATGATTTAAACCCCCAGAAGTGCTCTGGAACATGATTTCAAGTTTTAAACAATACATAGATGATTTAAAATATTAGAAAGATCGACCAAAAATAATAATCAACAGAACAGTGGATGCATTAAGCAATCTGATTTTCCATGTATGAAAAGAGCAACAAATAAGTAACCTAAACAAGAGCACTATCAAATTATACAATGCTCCACTTTAACACAATTCTTAATCCTAAATATGTGTAATTCCACCAAAGAAATTTAGATACTTTTCACACAATACCAAATCACATACTAAGGTCTAAGTTTCAACACACATTTTAATTTTATGGCCACATCTTGTTTCAGAACACTACAATAACCATAATGGCTTCAATCAGCAAAAGCAAACAGCAAAATCAACAATAACCAAATGCTCCAAATTTAATAAATGATCTTTAAAAAATAATCAAGATGTAATTTTTTTTTTTGATGGTAATCAAGATGTAATTAATGACAGTTGAAGAGCCAAGTAATGAAACTCATGGAAGAATCTCAAAAACCACGGAGAATTCCTCGCACTCGCTACTTTCATTTTCCAAAAGAGGCTCTTGCACATCATCGATTTCACCGGAATATTTGACATTCTAAAATCGAAAATCAATATAAAAGGAATCACAAGCATCACAAAATAGAATAGATCGCGGCAGCAGATGAGAACAGATTGGAACATCTAAAGTTTAGCTACGACGGCGGAAGATCGACCGGAACGAGGCGGCGGAAGGTGAAAACTTGGAGATAAGAGAGAATGGCTAGGGTTTGGGGTGGCCGGAGAGAGAATAACGATAAATGAATCGGCAACAAATGTGTCTGTAACAATAAATTCTTATCTGCAATATAAACAAATAAGAAAAATTGAACAAAGATAATTTTTATTGAATTAAAATAAATAAATTGCGGGTTACAATCTCTATTTTAATCCTCTGATTCTTCTCTCTAGAACAATATATAGTTGACTTGAATTTTCGGAGTCGGGTCGTTGACTTGATCTTCTCCGGATTTGATTTTGGATTTGAATAACGTTTTCCAAGGGTCTTGCGACTTGAATCTTGGATCGAACGTTGAACTTTGACTAAATTTGACTTGAAGATCTTGAAATTCTTGATGGATTTGGCCCTTCAATCTTCCAATGATCTTGACTTGAATTGATTAACGTTAATCCGAAGGTTTGGCACCGTTATCTCAGATCGAACGCTGGATTTGATGAAGAATGCCTTGAATTTGCTCAAGAACACCTCGAATTTGACGAAGAACACTTTGAATGTATAGAGAGAATCTTACCTCCTACGAATTCTTCTTCCTTGCTTCTTGAGTTGTAGATAGAATTTTGCTCCTACGGTTTCTGCTCTTTCAGTTGTGTCCTTGAATTGTGAAGGGAGGGTCTCTATTTATAGTGGTGGAATAAGAGTCCTTTATGGGTCTTACTGACGATGTGGCGCGATTTGATTGGCCCGATTTAAATTAATACTTATCTCTTGTAACTTGGGAGAGAAGAAATAATTTTATTGGCCAATAATTAATTGATATTTATCTCTTTATATCTTGGAAGAGAAGAAATAATTTTATTGGCCAATAATTAATTGATATTCGATCCTCCTTAATTTTAGATCGGGCTGGAGTGCCTCGCTTTCGTAAAGGTTCGAGGATCCCTTGCTGTCAATGAGCTGGTGGTTATTTCATAATTACCCCCACCTGGGGGCTGTTTTGCAATTACGGAACCCGCTGCATGGAGTTTGGTGGAGAAACAAGCCGAGTTTACTTAATTGTGGTTCAACCCCTAGGGGCCCTTTTGGAATTATCAAAGCTTTTGCTGCCTTAGCTCTAGAAGATTTAGTTTATTTTCTTTTTTACCACATTTTGTGGGTGCACTGTAATAGGCTCGATAGGGTCGTCTCTGATTTTTTATTACCATTGTAGGGGTACTCTTTTTCCTTGTGTTAGGCCCACAAGGTTTTAACGAGCCCCCCAAACGCTTTATCATAATGGAATAATAAAATCTTTTTGGCCAAAAAAAAAAAAAAAAAAAAAAAAAAAAAAATCTTGGAAGAGAAGACATAATCCTATTGGCCAATATATACATTTAAAATCAATTATCTATTTAAATTAGGAATTTATTTAAATTCCTAATATTAAAATAGAAAAGATATAATTGATATTTAATATAATATATATATATATATATATATATATATGCATAATTACATATTTGCCACTTGTAAAAATAAATAAATCACTCGGCTCTATGAAAATTAGCAATTTAATTGCTTGAAAATTCATTCGTCTACAAATGCCCCCTCGAGACTTGTTCACGAACAATGCGTCTTGAAGTGAATAAGTCACGATAATATTGGTTTTCATCGGTATATAAAAAAAAATGGTTCGATTCTTGGTCTAGGCTAATTGATGATATAAACCAATAAAATTGGAACTCACTCTTCCTTTAGTCAATTTGGCCCAACTATTCCCCAAACTTCAAATTTGAATTACACGTGAGAGAGTGCATAATTCCTCTCAAACAAGTATTAAATTTGGTTATATATTTTCTATAGGTTAGAGCATGGCCCACATAAAAATCAAATTTTGAATGCAACTTGATTTCCATGAGGAGAGAAAGTCCCAAACTTCTGTATCATTCATACAAAAGGACTCCTTTTGCAGCTTGATTTTCTCTACTCAAACATGTATTATCCTTCTTCCAATGGGTTTCAAACTCCTTGCAATTGGATAATTCCTAATCCTAATACCATTAGGACTTGTTTTTTCCCAGCTTATAAAAGGAGGTGACCCCTACCAATTTTTTCATTCATCAGCTTTCAACCATCGACCCTCTTGCAAAGGATTTTCACCTCCATCGAATTTAGCTCTTTTTTTTTTTTTTTTTTTCGGTGGTTTTGCTAATTTCTTTGGCTCGATTTCAGGTCAGTTCAAAAAAAAAAAACGTTTCCCTTTTTTTTTTTTTTTTTTTTTTTTTTTTTGACACTTGAACGTGCTTTTGATTCCTTTCTTTAACTCACCGGTCCTCTTTTATTCGTTTTAGGTTTGGCCATTGGGTGGTTTTAGCACGATTCCTTGCCCTCGCTTCTTTTTTTTTTTTTTTTTTTTTTTTTTATCTCACCACATCGAACTTATCGCTCTTTCTTTGATCTGTTTTGATAGATTTTCCGATGGTTTATTTCAAGCAAGCTTTCTCTTCTTTAGGCGACGAGCAATTGGTAATTCTTGACGATCGTTACCAACCGAACGACAAAGGAACCGTCTTGACGATTTATGCCCCCCTTATCGGTCCTTACGCAAAGCAATGGCCACGTCTCACGACTCCGAATCGCATGTCCGTTTGGTCCCACGAGCATCCTCATAATAAGTACGAGTACGTGTACAGTTTGCGAGCATCAAATCATAAACCCGACAGATCCACGCTTCCGGAAGAGTCAAGCAGTCCGAGCCTTCTGCCGACTTTGGGTGGCAACATCGTGAAAGGAAAAGTCAAGTGGGGAGATACTCTCGATCTTTCCGGCGGCTTTCAGTTCTTCAGAGGGTATTGGGAATGGACCGAAGACGTTCTCAGTCGTTGCCAGCACAAGCTAAAGTCCGCGAAGATCTATGATTCTGTATATGCCTCCCTCTTCACGTACGACTACAACTCTGAAATTATGAAGGCGTTCTTCGAGGCATGGTGTCCGACTACAAATACCCTCTTGACGTCTCCTGGAGAAATGTCTATCTCTTTATGGGATTTGCACATCCTCTCCGGGCTACCGTTAACCGGGCTCTTTTACGATGAAGTCGTCCCTGCCTCTCAAGAACTCGTTGGTTCCGATGCAAAGGGTGTTCGACTTTCTCACCGTTCCTGCCGACATCTATTCCATGCCTACCACTTACTTCGGAAGCGCTCTAAAGGTCCGTCCTCCAATGTCTCTGTCGAAAGCTGGATTCAGTTTTGGTCGAAGAAGCAGAAGAAATACACTCAACCTCCTCCGCGCAAAGAAAAGAAGGGTGTTCGCCCCAAGTCAACTCACAATCCTTCCGGCAATATTGAAGCACATGCAAAATGGATCAACATTGAAGAAGCTGTGTTTTCGAGCATTAGCGTTGATGTCGAACTGAGGTCCGAGACATACTTGGCGGTCCATTTGGCCTGTTGGCTTTGCACCTTCGTTCTCCCCACTGATGATGTAGGCATGATACGTCCTTCAACGTTCAAGATGGCTAGCATAATGGCGAGTGGCGAAGAAGTCTCTCTTGCAGTTCCTGTCTTAGCAAGCATCTTCAACGGCATAAATAGGATTTCGAGATCCTTGAGACCCCATCAAGAGAACTCTCCGTTTCCTATTCACTTCGTCTATAGTTGGTTGGCGCTTTATTTCAAGACCCATTGTCAAGTTCTGCAAGG